AAATAATATCAGAAATCAATACGATTGAATTTGTACTATTTTGTACTGCCAAAAACAATTCTATATTACGTCATTTTCAAGAAAACAATGACGTTGATAATATTTAAGCTAGCAAGACCATAAAAAAAAATGAGGAAAGAAATTAACACAACTGAATTTCTACTAATTTGTACCATTGAAAGTAAGTTAATATTTTACATGTTTTTTTTTTCTCCTTAAAATGACTTTATTAGTATATACTTACAATCTATTCTACGTCAAATCATGCACCTTTGAAACATCACTTATTTTTTTTTAATTTGCTAACATATTCTACACATAATAATAAGACACGTGTTTCGTGAGAAAAATGTGAGATTTGTTTGTAAAGTTATGGACGCTTGTAAGTGTTGCGTAAATTTATAAAAAACGTCGCTCATGGAATATTCATATTATTATATCGTCGAAATAATTAATCGTACAAAAAAAATGTAAAATTTTCCGAGATTAAAAGTCCGATTTTAAAGATCTTAAATTGATCCATGGTTGGATTATTTTTTGTTTATTATTTTCATATAAATGAATCATTTTCCATTTGTTTACACGTTTTATGAACATTTTTCGACATCAACTCATCAATTGAAAAATTTTGTAAAAATACATATTTCCATTTTGTTGTTTTTTTTTGTGAATCATTTTTAACTAAATTTAAATATTTCAGCCAAATCGGTTTTTCCACGTTGATAAGATCAGATGCGTGATTATGTCTTTAGTATTATAATTTTTACGAATGTCTTGTCATTACTTTTTTGTGAATCGTATCCTGCTAAATTTAAATATTTTAGCAAACTGTTCTTTCCGTGATAGATAAGATCAGATATGTTACTAGTTCTTCTTACAAATTATTGAGTTTTTAGCATCAGAAATTGGTTAAATTGCTAGTTAATTTAACTCGTGATATTACTGCGGTAGTTTAGTAGAATTAGCGTTTTCAAGACCGAAAAATCATTTCGGTGCGCGTTTCTGGGGACTACATACGTAGTAAATAAATTCAGACAAGAATTATACAAGCATTTAAGATCCAGCTAGACCGTTTAAAGCTTTGATTTCTATAGTTTGTGTTATCATACATATACGGTCCTATAATATATTATATTGTTTATTGAGTTTTTTATTCTCAATTTTTGTGAATCGTTTCTATACTTACGTTACAGTTTCTGATGGTTGCAGAAGAAAATTAACTTGAAGTCTAGCTATTACTTCTAGAGGAATTCCTGTCATCTGCAATTTGTTAAATGTCAAAGTGTTATATATATCATATAAAGGCGGTTCTACACGGAAAAAATTTTACATTTAAAATTACTATAATGTGGTAATAGTTGCGGTCTTTATGTAAATTAAATGCTACACGGAGAGAATTTTTTCTTAGAATTCTGAAAATATGATAATCGTGGGACAACATTGTATTTCGAAGAATTTTAATATAAATCTCTCTCATTCATTAATAAAACTACAATAAAGTATAAAATAAGTTTGATCAATTTTACTGAAGTGCATGGTAAAAATCTTTAAAATATTGTATTGTACCACAATCACCATATTTTCAGGGTAAATTTTAAAAGAAAATTCTCTCCGTGTATAGTTATTTTTTTAAAAACAATAATATAACGTAATTTTTACACTTTTTCATAGTAAACATTTTTTATTACAAAATCAAATATACCTAGGAAATTTTGTTTGCGTACCATAGTAAAAATTAACTGTTTTGCTGTTAGAATATGCACTGAGAGAAAAGATTTTGTTAATTTAGCAAGCCATCAGTATCTTTAACCGGTGATCGGTAAATATGTGACAACAAATTATGTTGTGATTGCTGTTAGTCTGCTATACCAATCAATTATTAGTAATAGAAACAAACTATATAGAATTTAACCTATCTTTTGGATAGACTTTAGCTCGTTTATATAGAATTCGTAGATGATCGTGAAGTCTTAAGTCGTAGGAAACCCACCAAGCACAGTCAAATATAGGGAGAATACTTGACTAGAATTAGTCAGTTTCTTACGATTTGAGGCCCTGCAACCGTCTACGACTTTTATATATATATATGAACCTCTTATTTGCTAGCGATACTATTCATTATTTGTTACATTGACAAATTAATTTGCAATCGTAACAAATCGATTGTTTTTTTAAACAAATATTACATTTGCTTTCCCTTGATTTGTTCCTATAACAAAATCATTTCTCTCAGTGTGGCTTAACAAAATAATTACTTTATTTATGTGATAAAAATTAGTATTACCATAGTGAAAGTTAAGTCGGAATCATGTTGTGAGAGTCCATCGAAAATACAAGACATAGTAAAGTATAATTTAAAATTGTATTAAAACTTAATATAAAATTTTCTCCGTGTAGATAGCATGGCCTGTATTAATAAATATTACACACACGCATGCATAATTATCTACATAAATGTAGACCAGAGCTGTCCAAAGTCGGTGCGTTTTTTGGCTTAAAATCGAAATGTGTCACACCTATATATACCTACTTTTAAACATAGTGAAAAACACGAGTAAAAAACTTTTAACGATTTCGACAGTGTTACTATCGTTGAGATCGAGCATCGCGCATTATGACAAAACAGTAATGAAGAGTAGGAACGGTAATGAGCGTGAATACCGACACATTTTAATTTCATGCAAAAAAAAACCGACTTTAGACAGCTCTGACGTAGACCAATGTTCAGCGAATGTGCATCAAGTTGGCGTACATTGGCCATGTCGTCTGGAGCCGCTTTAACACGAAGCTATGCGAATAATTTAACACGATTGCTTTCTCAATAGCGCATATTATCGTGGCAGCGCCACATCCTCGATAGGCCGGATGAAACGCGATAGTAAAATTAGTATCTTGGCAGTAGAGCACGGGGTTGACTAACCGCCGTTATTTCTATCGCGGCGATTTATTCGTTCGCGCTGTAAAAACGATTTGCTAGATTGCTACTTACGGGTTCCAGAGTGATGGTGAAGCTATGATCCTTGTCATTAGGATGTAGTCCTTCGACTTGGTCAAGGAGCACAGGATCACCCTTGTAAAAATGAGGTAGACTGATGAAGCCTGGCGCACCGAAACGGCACGCGGTCACATTCATTAGACCAGACGGCATGCATTCGCCATTGCAGTAGCAATGACCCATGTTAATAATATCCGGATCATCGTCCGAGTATTCATCCGTATCTTTCTCGGATGAAAGGTTGTTGTCAAAAACACTTTCGGTAGTCGTAGTGTATCCCATCTCCGACAAATGCTCAGCTGCAAAAAAGTCTTCGGTCGTTGTGGTCCTCTCAAAATATTTCGCTTGTTCGTGAGGATAACGTCGCCTAGTATCGTTTCCGAGAGTCTTCTTATCAATGGTGTATCGATAACCCTCGATGCCAAAATAAGATACCGTTCCCTCGTATTCGTAAGTGATCGGACTAAGATAATGTAAAAATAAAACAGAAGAAATAAAGTCAAGAATTCAATGTACGATATAAATTTTGGCACTGCTTAAAAATTATTAGGGTAGTTACAACAGGTTGATAACATGCAAGAATGGCGCCAGAAAGATTATTCTGCGGTGAAGCTAATTAACAACATTAAGTGAAAATGGACCAATAATTAAATATAACTGTATCACACACACACACGCGCGCACACACACGACACGCACACACACATACACACACGCACGCACGCGCGCGCGCGCGCGCACACACACACACACACACACACACACAAAATTGTATTTAATAAATAGAGAAAAATGTTGTTTATACTACTTTGGTCAAAAATATTAGGCACCTTATTAACGGTTTAATGTTTTAGTTAAAAAACTGATTTATGACATTTGCTGTGATTATCTTTTACTTCAAGATTCTATAATTATGGTATTATTTATGCAGCGACGAAACACTAGGACTAAATTGCCTCAACATTTAAATTCATAAAAATAAAACCTTGATTTTTCGTTAAATATTATTTGATTTGACAGCACATAAATAAATGCAAAGTTTAGTCTATTTTGTATAAACTTGATAATATTTTTCAACTAACCGACATATATCTATGCTGAACAAAGTAATCTCATCTTTTGCTCTATTGGGCGGCCAAAATTCACCCGCGCTGCCTTCAATAACATTACAAGGGCTCTTGAAAAATTTCGTCGTATCCTTGTAATGCCAATTTCGTAGGATACCCAACTGGCTGATATCATCCTCTCCCGTTTCCATATTTACGTATCCATCCGAGATGCTGTTATTTTTCTGTATAATTAAGACATAACAATATAAATTGCGAAGTATTCCTTTTTTGGTAAGTTTTTGATAATTCTATCCACATCTGAGAAGGTGCTTATGACTGGATTGTTCCATCTTTCGATAAACTTCAGCTCACTCTCTAACTCTCTTACTCTCTTACGCTTCTTATTCATTTACTCTTTTCTTTATCGGATAAATTGCCATATATCCGAAGATGAAACAACCGGCTTTATGCGAATTAATACCTTTTCGTTAATATAACATTATGTTTTTGTCTATTTTTCTTTAATAGTTTCGTCAGCACCGATAAAACGGCGATTTGTTTCATCAGAGCGATGCGTGTTATCATTATCTCCACAACCAGTTGCTTCAACAATGTAATCGTGGTTACTCCACTCTTAAAGTGTTTAGAGATACGCCTTTTCATACTATTTAACTATAATTTTTGTAGACCACTAACATCAGTATAATACTACATAATGTATCTTCGGACGTTTTATTCGCTCCGCGGCGCGACCTATATGTGATCTCCATTCATTATCAATTTAAACCTGGTTACAAGTACTCTACCATCGACTATAACGTACCTAGTACTATGTAACTCAAATGTTCCACGTACTATATTTGCTAGATATTAATAAATTAATTAAATAAATTTATTTACAGTTTTTCAGCACATTAACATCTTTCTAATATGAGAGATGCCTGGTTGAGCATTAAATTATTAAAAATTGCTTGCCAATTTAATTTAATTTGTGATGTTATTACAGTAGTTTAATTGCGTTTATAAAACCGGAAAACAAATTCGGCGCGCAGTTCGAATAACTACAAATATGGTATTATTATTTTTTTAAGCATTAAAGGTCTAGCTTCGACCGCTATAGGCATTTCTATCGTATTGATTGTGTTCTCACACGTACGGTAAAATATAATTTTTATTATTGATATTAATAGCTTTTTACATCGTTCATAGCGATCCTCAATGCTAAATACTATCTTTAATATTAGCATTTCAAATCATTTGTGAAAGAGATGAATTTTGTTTATTACATAATAATGAAAGAACAGGAAGTCTCTGATTTTCCAATATTTGAAGAAGCAGAATAAATGATACGATGCATCAGAGCTGGGATTTAATTCACACATTTCGGGCAGATTTCATTGATGACGCCTACTGACTTTTTCTTGCCGCTCGTATCTTAGCAACGAGCTTATAAATAAGTGTGACGCTTCATCTCAGAATAAGCGTTCGTATACTAAATGATAGAATTGTAATTCCCTTGAACCTCCCTTGAAGAAGCTTATAGTTAGAATTTTTCTCTTTTGAATAATTATTAATTAATTAGCTTAATAAATAATGGAAAAGCTTTTTGTTATCAGTATATTAATGAAGATTTCCAGTTATTAATCTAAAATTATTCAAAAAAGTTACTTGAAGTTCAGGGGAATTACATTTCTATCATATAATACGAATGCTTCTGAGGTAAAGCGACATGCGTTTTTCATAAACATTTGGTGCAAAGATACAAGCGGTAACAAGGGAATAGTATATATCGATGAAATCGGGTAACCAAAATGTGTAACTAAATCTAGCTCTGCGATACATAATGATCCTCAATGCAAATAAAAATTAACGGTAATTCTGCGGAAAACCAAATAATCATACAAGCAATAATCTTCGAAGTGTATTTAATATGTGTATTGCATACACTAACAAGTTGTTCTCGCTGACTAAATGAAACATTAAGAAGAGCTTGTCAGAAATAGTCTGTCTTATTAGTAAACGTACCGTGTAGAACCAGCCGAAACGATCAAACGTCGGAACATCGTCTAATGGCATTATTTTGCTCATAGTGAACAGAGTATCAGGATAGCCTGTAAACAGCAATTCATCCACTGTTTTACTAGTGTAGTATCGTCGATTAGTGCTACTTAAGAGAAAAGACAGCGACTTCTGCCAATCGATTTCCCAATATCTAACTTTGTGCGCTGCTGACTGTAAAAAAGAGAATAAGTATATATTTATAGTATTTAATATCTCTGATTCTTCCTAAATTGACTATTTTTTATTTTCATATCAGGACGGAATTTAACCTTCTATAATCCGGTGTGATTTTGAAGTCACATGCTGATATATCAATATCTTGTTGATTTAATTAATTTTTATCGCAAAGTGATGTATACATCTTGTGATATAACGTAATATGCTTTTGCAAGTTGTTTCCAGATAGAGATTATAGGAGCTACTTCTAGATTTATATTTGTTGATGTTACATAAATTTTTTTATAGTCATGAAAAAAATTCGTGCTATAATATAGAATTAAAAAACCGGGAAATCCAGATATATCTTCCTATATACGGTTGTATTGTTATGTAATTGTTTCTCATACGATTTTTTTGCTTATATTGTTACAATTGATATTGTGAATTCAATTTATTGTTGCAACACTAAGCACGTAATAAAACCCAAGTGGAAATTTACAACTGACGCGATATCGCGCCAATACTGCGTTAAGGATTTGGTACTGGCTCGGTATTGGCATATTACTGGATTAATAACGATGAGTTCTGGCATTATACCGAAAGGTAACTTGGCTGGGTATTAGCAACCAGTATTAAGACAGTATTGTAGACAGTACTGTGCTAGTACTAAGCCAGTACTGTCCCAACCCTCGGAATAAATTCTTACTCTATTGATAGCCAATACTCGAGAGTCTGTACTGTGCCAGTACTAAGCCAGTACCGTACCAATCCTCGGCGTAACTCCTTACTCGGTTGATAACCAGTACTGAAGAGTCAGTACTGTGCCAGTAATAAGCCAGTATTATACCGATGATTGGTGCCGTACTGACCAGCAGTACTGATGTTACTTACTATTTACAACTAACGCGGTATCGCGTCATTTGTAAAATCCGGCATATGTCCAACTTTTCCACTTGGGAAGATGTAATAAAGTAACTTACCACAGTGACAGGGTCCAAATTAGTAATGATGTCGTTAATACTTCCATTGCTCCGCTCCGCATCGTAGTACCATATTCGTCGTTGAAAATAGCTGACAGTTTTGTTCTCATGATTAAATTGGATACCGTCCTTTTGCCTTATTTCCCTGCATTTCATAATTGTATTAACGATTTCTTCCATTCTTTCTCGATTTTGTACAATCAAAAGATTCTTTTTAGTTGTTAAGCATTATTTTTAAATTTATGAATTAGAAGCGGATAACATTAATGAAACACGCACTGAATATAAACGTTCACATTTTTCGTAAAAGAAGATGTTTAATTTTAAGATACTAAAATATTGTATTTCTTATTTCCATTTTCAAATACTTAAAAATGTTTTAGTTTTAAACGAGCACACAAATGCTAAAAAGTGTTTAGTTTTGAGAAGTGTCTTATTCAAAGGTACATAAAAGTATTTAATTTTTTGAAGTATACTATTTTAAAACACATAAAGTCGTTTAAGAGTTTTAAAAAATGTTTTAAATTGAAAACGCTAAAAGCTGTTTTACTTTGAATAATATTTGATTCTTAAATGTTTCTTGCGTTTAGATGAAAACGCTAAAAGCTCTTTTATTTTAGATAATGTTTAAATTTTATAAAAACTAATTAATTTAATTTTATTAAATTTGCCTGTTCTGCTGGCCACATATACAGGTCAAATTTTCTTAAAAAGAAAATCTTTCAGTTCGACGTCTCATCTCTCGTGTTTTGATATATCAAAACACTTTTTAGCAAGCACGTCTTGTATTTCAAAATGTTTCTCCTTCGTAAACATTTAATATCGATAAGATATTTTATTCTTTGATATGCAAAAGAAGTAGACGTTCAACTGTCACAATAAAATCGTTTTTTTCGTTTAAGAAAAAATAAATATTTTTTAACATTTTAAATAAATTAAAATTCTATGATGTTTAGATTTAAAATATGGAAAACGTTTAAAACTGAAACATCTCTTATTATTAAACATTTGTTTTGGGAAATATATTTTATATGTAACCATTTTAAACACTGCATTTTTTATAGTACAGTAGTTTTATTTATATGCAAATTAAACAATATATACATTTTCTGCCTCATTTTAATTGATACATAATTTATTGGTTGCTGCTAATTCTGAGGTTGATTATTCAATCGCAACTCAGACATTTGACCTATATATATTGCTTATTAATATTAACGGGGCCAATTGCCCCGCAACCATACAGGACGTACGTATGTAATGATAATGACCATACCTAATGCTCTCTTATCGTCAAAGCCGCAATCTTTATATTACCAACACAAAATTAGGAACGGAAGCAGGATTGTAGAAGAAGAATTTGGAAGGGGAGAATTTTATTTTAGGTGGTAATATGATAATAAAATTAGTTTAATCGGTTATCTGAATTGACCATTGCTCCAAATAATTATATACATGGTTTTATATTTCGTTAATCATAATTCTATTAATTTAGGAAAGTTGCAATTACAAACTTGATCGAAATTCAACCGTGTAACGGAAATTCTAAATTTCTTCAAATTTCGTCAATGATGACAATTATATTTAATAACAGAGTGTCGAAATTTAAAGAAACTTAAGAGTTTCAGTTACACGGGATTTCAATCCAATTTATGATTGCAACTTTTACGCTCTTCATGTTTTCGCGTATTAAGGCGCGTTCACACCTTGATGAAAAAGCAGAAAGCGGAAAAGTAGTGGCCAATCAAAACTCGCGTTGGTAGTAAATAGTACAAAAAGCCGAAATTGTCGATTAGCAGCACGAGTTCTGATTGGCTGCTGTTTTCCCGCTTTCTGCTTTTCCGTCAAGGTGTGAACGCACTCTTAAAAGTCGCGTGAGGTGTTCTTGGAAAACGCAAATTGCGAAATGTGTAATGATACTTGTATCTCGAATCGTTTTTACAGGTGTTCTACACGTTTACCGGTTTTAACGCAAAAGTATTTTGAGGTAAACTAGTCGAATGAAGGACATGAGTAAGGGAATGCATCTATATGGTACTGGTTGAAGAATCGCAAAACACATGTTATTACGGTCGAGACGAAAGTAATTAATTAGTCAATTAATTCATCTAGACTCGCCTACGCGTCGCGCGTGATTGGTATTTTTTTTATACATTAAGACATCAATACAATGAGGTTAACTATTTCTCCTTCATTGTCATCATTAGATTCGTTATCGTATTGTAATTTCATAGTCTGATTAGAATAACCTGACATTTATTACATTTTGCATATGAAGTGTATCAGATTTCTTCATATGACTTTTCTTTTATCTAAATATTTTAGATTTAGATCTTTTCTTATAGTACTAATTTAATTTAATTTAATTTAATTTAATTTAGTTTATTGCAAAGCTGTATAAAAAAGACTACATGTTAATAAAATATACAATAGACTATAGTTGACATAAACATGAAACGCGAGGCAGCGGAACGAAAGGATGACAGAGAGAGAGAGGTTTTTATTGAATCAGGAAGGGAAATAAAATATTTGACAGAGGTGTAGGATAAAGCAGCACGGAACTTAGTGGACCGATATATGGGGAAAGATAAATAATCTTGGTATCTGGTGACAAGAGAGTTAAAAGAGGAATGATGTTCAAAGTTCAACTGAAGGAGACGTCGTAGATATAGAGGAGTATTGGAGCGAAGGAGAAAAAATATAAGACAGCACAGGTGGAGAATAAAATGTTACCAAATCTTAAGCCAGCCAGATCTCTGGTAATACGCAGATATATGATCCTATTTACGGATGTATAATAAGTTGCCACGTGTGACTCGAATGACCATGAAGAGTCAACATGGACATCAAGAATCTTAATAGAGGAGGAGCGAGAAGATGGAATAAAATTAAGAAAAGTGTCAAAAGATTACGAGATTGAATACGGGATTGAAAAATGCTGAGAAACCGACAATCTACAACGATGATTTAGAAGAATTTAGATGCAAGGTATTATTAATGGACAATTCGACAATAAATTTTAAGTCTATTCAAAACAGAACAGGTTGCTAAAACATCGAATGGGTGAAAGGAGAAAAAGGATTATATACGAGGATTTACTGATTTGTAAGGAACGAGCAGATCAGCGAGAGAACAAGATGAGAAAGACCGCATAACTTGAGTTTGACTAGAAGTAGGTCATGATTGACGGTATCGAAAGCCTTTGTGAGGTCCAGCGCAACGATGGAAGTAAGGCGACAATTGTCGAAATTACGAAGCACAACGTCAGAGATAATTAATGTGCTAATTATGATAATTAAGACGTTTGTTTATTAAATGTAACTTATTTATCATAAAATATGTAATATTGTGTCAATATGTGTTAATCATATTAATTTTGCTCATAAATAGAATATCGTAATTGTAATCTAAATTAAAATAATATATTTGCAGAAATTTACATTTAGTATTTAAGCACTAAGATCCGTTTTGATTAACAATAAGATTATTTCTATTAATTAGTAAATTATAATTAAAATACGTATATAATAAGAAAATCGGTAGTCGCATAAAAATTATTGTTTATTATGCGACTACCGATTTAAATAAAAACAGTGATTGCAATTTATAATTTTGTAATGTCAAAGTTAATAACATTCTTATTATATACATTTTTTTAAAATTATGATTTACTAATTAATAGAAATAATTCTGTTGTCGATCAAAGCGGATCTTAGTGCTTAATGCCAAATGTAAATTTCTGCAAATATATTATTTTAATCTGATAAACTACGTACCGATACGGTTTGTTGAACTTAAATCGTTTTCGCAAATTGAAGTTGAATTCAATTGAATTGAAGCTAAAATTATTATCATAAATTTCGTTGATTGATTGTCTTTTTTAAATTAGTGGTGCTAATAAGAAATATTTATGTCAGCCTAGCTAAGATAATATTTTTTGCAATGAATTATTTAGTAGGGTAGACTGAGAAGTCTACCCTAGAAAGGTCCCCGGGGAAAAAAGTCTACCTTTTGTATCCCGGTAATAATGTATTCATTAGAAAATTCCGCCATACATTTCGTCAACTAAGAGTGGAAATCTCATGCCACAAAGTTCGTTGCTTTCTGGTAATTATTAGGAAGCTTGCACGAACATGTCCTTGCATTTGAGAGTCAAAAGTAAGATATTAGCGTCGCAGTTATTTTGGTCTGAAGGGATTATTTTTGCAACTAGATAGATTAAATAAGTGCTCTCTAAATCTGAATCAGTGGATAATCACTGATATGCCAAGTATACCACTGGTAATCAGTAAACTAAATGTGAGATCCCTAATCTAGCTAATCTTTATTATGTGATCTAACTAACTTTGTTTTAGTGCTTAAATTCAATGAATTGGAAGATTGAAATTAACGTGCAAATATCAATATTTAAGTTATATTATGCTAAAACATTCTTCCTGTTTTAGTTGAACTTCACTGATTATCAGTGCAAAGTATGTCCCTGGGTAATTAGTACACTGAGAAAAATTTCGAACGTTTTATCCGTTCGAAAAGTAACAAACGGATATTTCCGATTGATTTTGATCGGATTTATAAGACTATCCGATTAAATTTATCGAATAGTCCTATAAATCCGATAAATTTGATCGGATAGTCCTAAAATTTGATCGGATATAGTCTTATAAATCCGATCAAAATCAATCGGAAATATTCGTTTGCTACTTTCTGAACGGACATTTTTCTCAGTGTAACTATCCACTGATTCAGATTTAGTGAATGTATTTATTAATCTTATTTTATTGTTTTAATAGTGTGATTATTAAAATAGTTATTTCTATTATAATTTTTTAATAACAATGCCGCAAAGTTTGCTTGCTTGTTGGGGTAAAAAGTGCCATGGTTGTTCTGTTATCGTTAATGTTGATTTTATAACAAGTCGATAATCCTAAGTCTTATCAGTTGACCAATAGCTAACTGTACGAGACGTCACCGATTACTTCCGATTATCGACTCATTGTAGAATCAGCATTAGTAGTGATCGTTACGCAGAGAGACTGGTAATTATTCAGAATGCGACTTTCATCTCCAATTTCGATTAAATTAGGCTTATTCGACGCGTTTTTGTACGAAACGAAAGAATCTGTAAGAAAAAACGTTGAGTCGGCCCTGCGAACCGAGATATTAAGCGTTAAAGTTAACATATTGAGGTTAGACAATAGAAATATAATAAAAATATATTAAAATTAAAATGTCAATCTTATAACACAAAAATAAAAATGTTCCGTTTTTATAATTTCAGTTTTAACAGAAAATGAAATTATTGACATGTTTTCTTAACCTAAGAAAAACTTGAAAAAGAAGAAACAAAATTACAACTATTGTAACAAAATTACAATAGAAATCCTATAATAAAAATATATTAAAATTAAAATGTCAATCTTATAACACAAAACCCACTTAATGTAGGTACTTTATAATAAAAAACTCTAATATATACCTGTTGTTGTCTCTGAAAATAGTTCAAACTTGATATAGAAGTATTGGTACTTTTTTACCTAGTTTTTAAGCAGTTTATTAGCATTATCATTCACAGGGACGATTAATTTATTTAATTTATGATATTTTATTTATAGCTTCGGTTTGCAACTGTATTTCAAATCTGACAAACCATATTGGCGCACAGTTTATAAAACCGAAATAATATATTTGTAAAAATTTCCATTTAATCTTATTGAACACTAAGATTTGCTTTGATCGAAAATATGAGATATTATGTCTATTACTTGATTTATTCTCATTGGTCTAATTTTAATTTATAATTAATTTTTATAATAAATATTGCAAAAAATGTTTATTTCGTCTTAAGATTAATCAGTTTTGTTGAAAAGTCAGCCATTTGTTTAACAGCCGTTTGTTTCAATTTTGACATGTTAAGCACCATATCAGTCATTGGTGACTGACAATATACCTACTTTTTGGTCAGACCGCGTAAGTTACCAGTGACGATAAAAAATTTTTACATGTTAAGCCATGACTGACAATGAGTATAAAAAATTATGCCATGATTGAGTATAAATAATTAAATGCGCAAATAAAGAGTTAAAAGAAGTAGGTTCGGCGCTTAACGTGTTAAGCTAGAATATACACAATTTTTAAAGCATTAATTTTGAAATATTCTGTTTATAATGAAAATTAATATAATCAAGACGCGTTGACACAAACAATAACTATTGTAATTATAATTTTATCTTATCTGCAGTGGCTTATGTGCTTCGATCTCATGACTTCGAAACTTTCTATTTCCGTGGTTAGTATTCCTCTCTCTCGTCTCTCTTGTTACATTCATAAATATTATTGAAATATATTGACATTTTTCTGAATGAAAATTAACACACACAAGTAAAAGTTAATAGTGAGTCTTACTGAAGGAATTAATCTTGTCTTCTCGTTGATACATAAGGGAATATATTATACGTTCTTATATTGTATGTTCTTTTCTATGCCACGATTTCGTAAATCTTAATAATGAAAATTGTTCGTTTCAATCAAAGTCACTTACCTGAAATAATAAGGTCCAACTTGATTGAAATGCGGTTTTTTTATGTTCAATTCCTCCGGATTGGTCCAGTTAAAGAGATATATTTTCATAAATAAAGGCGGGAGGTTGCTGGTGTCCTTCCACATCTCAAAGCTTTTGGAAGTCGGCGAGAGAGCCAATTCCTAGAGATATAAAAAAATATTTAGCAGAAGTAAAAAAATGATTAGCCGATAATAGCAATTTTTATCACTTTACAGTCTGATGACGTTCGCTGATTGCACTCAAGTGCAATGTTGACAATGCAAATAATTTCCTTATAAAGTGGCACTTAAATAACTATTCAGATCGCGTTTTACAGTTAATGAACACACGCAATAGTTGTTAATTTATACTGCAGCTAGCTACGCGATCACAACAACGCAAAAAGACTAATTTGTACTACGTATTATTATGTATGAACAGTAGTAAAAATCACTGAAAACACTAAATTGGTCACATATTGCAACATTAGTAATGCACCTACTATTTACAACCCAATTTATTCTCATAATTGACAGGAAAAACTCGCGATTGTAACATCGGCACAATCATAATAGTCAAAAATAATTTTGTATTCGAAATTAGTCACTTACTAATCAAATGTAAATTATAATATGAAATGTGATAAATATCGGATTCGCTAGCAACCATTTCTTGAATAAGAATGTAATCGCGCAGCTGTTAGTAATTAATCTTCACGTCGTGTTGTATGAACGGTTTAGAAGGGAAAACAAAAGCAGACATGTGATACGAATGTGTGTCTCTACTTTTATCAATACTAATATTATTCGCACGCGATAATGCCAGTGGCGTGAAATGGGACCGTTGCGATGTGCCGCGACACAGAGAAATACCAATTAATGGGACAATCGGCCACTTTTCCAATCGGGTCGGTAGTAGCGCCGAGGCAAGCGTCCAGTCTCTAAACGCATAGTATATGGATCAGTTCAACGAGTGATTTTATTTATCGCAAACGACACTCACGCGGCATGATGTTTGCGTATTTAATACATAAATGTGGCTTATTTTCTGCTATTATGGATGAAAAACACGCATCGTACGTGTTATTCCTTTCTGGGAAAAGCTCGATAAGTGTAATTAATGACCAGTTTAAAAATCAACAAGTTTCAGGATTGTCGTTTTGCTAAAAATAAAGATTTTAATTAAAATCAATTAAGAGGAAGCGCCAATTACGGTCGAAGTTAGATTTTAGGAGTAATTCTTTATATGTAATTTACTGTAAATACATTTACTTTAGATAACAAATTTAATATATTGGACAAAACGAAATGATAAAGAAGGCATAGAAAGCCAGGCATTAACTTGCAATGATATAAAATAAAAACGAACAAACTAATTTATGGATGATGATATCTTATTTCTTATACTTATGGATAAGATTTTTTTTTTATAGTCAATCGTTATTATATGCAATTAAAATATTTGAAGGCTTCTTTTTGGAATGACAAGTAATCTTAGAGAGCTCTAAGATTACTTGTCATTCCAAAAAGAAGCCTTCAAATATTTTAATTCATAGAAAATTGAATTAGAATAATAATGCTGTAATTCATAAATTTATAATATATCTGCCTGTTCATATTATCGCAGAATCAAAGTTAAGAAGAAAAATAGTTCGAAAAGCAATCGGTTATGAAGTCATAATTCATAAATTTTGACACGATTTGGGCAATACTTGAAAATAAAAATCCAATGATTTTTTTAACTTTATTTTTTAATGTTATTTTTAATAATTTGTTAATTACGTTTTAATCTACAACTACTCTTATTATTGTAATGGCTGAGGATGACTAAGGCCCAGTTCCACAACTCACGGTTAACTCTTAACCGAGGTTCAACTTATTCATTGTCTCTTTCCAATTCTCGAATTGGAAAGAGATGAGAGATAAATTGAACTTCGGTTAAGAGTTAACCGTGAGTTGTGGAACTGGGCCTAAGTAAGGTCGAAATGTTCCATTTATTAATTAATGTAAAAAACCTTTACACCTTTTATGATATAGATTAATGTTTTAATAAACTTTATCATCTTATTTTTTCGTGTTTGATCTATTATCTTCTAGTATCTTCTAGTATGTAGATTTAGTATCTTCCTATTCATTTGTATTTATATATTTGAGCAAAAAAATCACATGTTATAAAACTTTTATATACATATAAGCATAATTTATGTTAAAAAATCATCAGATTAATTTAATAATAGTGAATTAACAGGTTATTCGAACCGCATTGTACTAATAAATATTAATAAATATTCATTATATCGAAAAAGTTTCACAAATAATACAATGCGGTTCGAATAACCTGTTATTTCACTATTATTGAATTAATATTCGTAAGAGTCTTATTAATATTATAGTTTAAATCATCAGATTGAACTTTTTATCTATAATTTATAAGTATTATTTGAATCTTGTTTGAATCACGACTTCAACGATTGTTTTTTTTAAACATTTTCCTTCTTAAATGATTTGGTGATAATATGGACAGACAGATTACGTATCGTATTACTGAGATAAGCGAGATTAGATTATTAATTCTAAATATTTTGTAATATATATGCACCACAAGTATATGAGAGAGGTGTAACCTAGGCCGAAGGCCTAACATAAGAAAGAAGAAGAATATTTTATATATAAATTATCGTAGAAATCCGTTTCAAATCCAACTTATAAAAAAAAATTACTTATTTTTATAAAAAAAAAGGAGTTGAAATAAATCTCGAAAGTAAACACGTCGATTAAATGTGGCACGAACGAGAAAGCGAGAATGCGTTAAACGACTTCTACAATGAGATTTCAAGGCGTAAAACTTAAGCGTAAGCCTTAAATCGTAAGAAATTGACCAATCATAGTCAATTATTCTCCTCATATTTGACCGTGATTGATCAATTTCTTGCGGCTTAATCTTAAAGATTAAATTTTATGTTTTAAAATCTCATTGTAGATGCCACATTATGAATCTTGTTTGATGTTACACAAATCTTATATGTTACAAATTAGTTTACAAAATAAGAAAAAATATGAGAATGTGTTGTCACAGATGAACACAGATGAAAGTAATTAGTCATCGTCTACACTCACTTTTTGAAGAATTTGATGAAAAACTGTCGGCCACAAGAAACAGAAGGAAATGCCAAGGGCTATCAGAAATAGCCCTAGGATTCCAAAGCTAAGCGATTTGTTCATCCACGGCCTCATAGTGACGCGTGTATCTCCACATGCACCGATCCTCGTCTCTTCAGCATGTGCACCCTGAACTCTAGCGTTCGGCCTTTTTGTTAATCACTTGTCTCACTCCTCCGCGTCTCGAGTTAGCCGTTGGTGCTTTAGAGTCTGTAAGATAAAACGTATCTAATCTACTAGTCAGCGACGAGTTTACGTCGTAATCGCACGTGTATATAATCATGTACATGTGCATTGCTATTGCGTGTGCGTGGTACGTTTCTTTAAGCCAATGGAGTTTCCGAGTCGACTAGGAATGCGTAGACATCGACACGCATAGACACGTGAATTCACACGTATTGAATGCGAGATATTTGTGAGCATTCTAAGAACTTATAGGCCGATGTTCATAGTCGATTCTTATATTTATGACTGTAGACAATCTCAAGTAGGTAGACAATCTTAAGAGTAAGATTGTCTCAAGAAAATCTTAAGATATCATAAACCAATCAAAGAGCTTTATGAATATCTTAAGACATTATTAAAATGATTTTAAAATAAGAACCGATTGTGTGAGTACTGACTTTAGAGATCGGAGCAAAAAATGTAGGGACAAAGTAACGTCAAATAAATTATTGGCGACATCAAATTAAAAAGAAATAGTTGATCTGCGTTTTATAATCTGTTATTTCGCGGAAAAATTATTCTTTTTATATGTATACACCTTTCTTTTTATATTAAAATATATATAATATACATATAATAAAAAATATATAAATATTATATATAATCATATATATATAATAGATATATAAAATATATATAAATATATATTTTAAAATAAATTGATAAAGAAAAAGAGAGAACAAAAAGATTTGCATTTCTAGAAAAGAAAGAAATATTTGACTAGTCAGTGTAAAAGTATCAAAAGAATATATGAAGTGCTTTTTATAGAACTTTGATTCCTCATTGTATGTTATATATTACTTGTTTATCGTTAGTGAGTCCACAGGGTATTGAATATGATTTACTCTTCGTTTTTATTAATCCTTTTACATAACAGGACAGTTTTTACGTAATCATTGGGCACTTCTAATTAACAATAATTGCATAAATTGAAATAAATTGAAATTTGCAGACAGATTGAATAAGTACAAGGAGATTATGGGTGATTAATGCTAAATCACGCGATATAGAAAAAAATATTTGTTTCATCAATTTAAATGCAAATTAGACATATGTTTTTTAATGAACAACAAAAATGTAATTATTGCCTACGCATATACAAATATTTTATTTTCATTACAAATTTCAAAAATATATAAAAATACGTACATATGTTGCACATTGGTAAATTATTTCTATTATTTATTATGTAAACTAACTTTACAATAAAAATATTAAGCAACATTTAAAAAGTATACTGGATGAAAAATTACTAATTGATATTTTTTGTTTGGTTAAATCGTTGGATTAAACTATGCGCTTTATATTACAAATTATTTATATTATAAAATTAGGAAAAACCACGCTTGCACTTAACGTAGTGTTGTATTATTTTTTTAATATCGCATGTACTGATCATGCAAGGTTATCTAAGGTTCATCTTTTATTGCGTCAATACATCTTGCTTATGCAATAATGTTAACGTTCCCAATATAAAGCGCAGTTTTCATGAATGATTTAAAATTATAATTCTAAGAGCACAATTAGAATAAAATGAATTATAATTATGCCATTAATGCCCGTTTCTACCAATGTGGATTAACTTTAATCTCGGTTCAACTTACTCTTCATCTTTTTCTTATTCTTAAAATTAGAAAAAGATGAAGAATTAGTTGAACCGAGATTAAAATTAAACTGCATTGGTAGAAATGGGCATAAGTAACACATCTTAATCGTAGAGAAAGATTTAAGAAATATTAATTCACACTAATAAATGTATATTATATCTCCACTTTATTATTAGTTTTGAATGATGATTTATGCCAAGAAATGTAAATTAGTTTCCCGATAGCATTTACAACTAATAGTAAAATGTAGGTATAACATGTAAATATTCATTATACTGCGAATTAACACCTCTTAAATCTTGTTCTACACACACAAACACACACGATCAAGATATTTTTACCTCGTGACAGAACTACAGTTACAATTTATTTCTTAACTAGCAAAAAATAATTGCTATTATTTAAATACGTTTTATTTATATTCAAGATCAATTATTAGATTTTGTTGTACGCTATTAAGTAGTACTTCGATTTAACAATAAGTGCAAGCATTTTTTCTAATAGTCTTTCATCACAAACGAACGTCAATAAATAATCAGCATGAAATTAATATTAATGTTTTTAATGTTCGCGATTTTGCATTTAATTATAAGACATTTTAAAGTAAAAAAATAATTGAGATCAAACTTTTTAGAAATATATCAGTTAAAGCAATTAGAAATTATATGCTAAAGAACTTAATATTATTCAGATCTAACGATAAGCAAAATTCAAAACAATGCACTTAATATATAATTATCTGTAACCTTGATAAATAAATTTTCACGGAATCTTTAATGTAAAATGCGAATTATAATTTCAGACTATATTTCTCATCGCGCATTTATGTCTCACTTAAATTATCTTTTCTATAGAGTGTCAGTACATTACGCTACGTAAACAAAACATACAATTGCATGATATTATTTGCATGCAATGTTTATCGAAATGCAGTTCTTATCGAAACATCTTTTATAATTACATTATACTCCATTTCTTGATTTCTGTGTACTTTGATATTCAAATAAAAACGATCCGACAGTTTTCCTTTATGACTTACCTCTTAATACAAAAACTTGTTATTCAGTAAGCTGCAGAAGTCATAAACTTCTCACAATGTTGATATTGAAGCACATAAAGAACTAATCTATTCTAGATACAAGAGGAAAAAAATAACAAATTAATAACTCTTTTAGAAACTGAACTCCGCGTACGCGTTCCTGCAATCCACGTCTCTGTACGACGCGTTTATTACTGGCGAGCACTGTGAATCAACAGGGCACTATAGGCAGTAAGATACATCTGTTATCCCCTCCACTTAGGGAGGATTTTCCTCCGACCATCTCTGTCCCTTGCGCCCTGGCGACCGCGCCTTGTTCCCTTTCAGATAGTCCCCCTCGTTGCTACCAACCCAACAAATTGGCCGCTGTGCGGATTAAACGTGACCACGTGGGAAGACTTTGACCTTCTGTCGACTTCACGCGTGCTTTAGCGTGCCAATTATATGTTACTTAGCATTCAGGCCACATGGATTATCAATATATGTTATATTTACATGTTCATTTGTTTTAATAACACATGCGTCTTGTATACATGTTATAACTAGATTACAAACTCATTGTTAACGTTAAGGCTTAAGGTGTCCTACAGAGCAAAAAATTACAATTTTTGTATAAAATTTTTGTTTAAACAATTTCCTAATTAGAGACATATAACGTAATATTTTTCTTTGCAGCCAAAATATTAAACGGTATGAATGAGAAGATCAGTGGGCCAACGGTGACAATCAGAATAGGTTAAATTCTTTTGTCGTGACTGAGTTACGTCTGCTCTGCAAACTCTTTATCTTCATAACTTATCGTGAAGTAGTTATTATTCGTAAAAATAATATTTGTAAAAAGAACTAATATTTAAACTGTTTTATAATATTGTAGGAAATCATGAGTAACGACATATACTTTGTCTCTATTTGCGTAATATATAATAGCCATTAATATTTAATATTAATGATTCATATAATACAAATAGACTCATTTAATATTTATTTATGTAATACAAAATTTACGAATAAATAATCATTTACATATATAATTATTCACTTTATTAATATAATAATTGTGATTTTATTTTTTGAGAAAAAATTTTTTTAATTATTATATTAGAAAAAATATAATTTTTATAAACAGATAATTTTACAAATTTATATTTTTGTTTTCATACACTATAACATTTGTAAATTATACAAAAATATATTGTATATTATTAAAGTACAACACAATATAGTATATATACAGCAAATAAATTTAATTTTTTGAGATTAAATGTTGTATTCCATTGCAAATATATATAAAAGACTCTTGAATAGAAAGATAAAGATACGTATCATTTTTTCTCATTAATTAAATGTTATATGTTGCAATAAAATATATGTTCTTTTCGCAATTTACAATAGTATATGTTATATGTTATAAGAAAATATATATTCTTTTTACAATTGGCGCAATTTAAAGATTTTATTTCATTTTTTTTAAATACATGTATACGTACTACTGAGGGGTAATTTATAATACAAAAATTAAAACAATATTACCACTTGAATTATATTATTTATGTAATGGTTTTTTTTTAATTTATGTAACAGTTTTTTATGGGTTTATGGGAGGTACACGTACACTTGGCGCCTTTTTTTTACCTTTTTTTTTAAAAGGTAATTTTGTATACATATGCAGCAAATAAATAAATTTATGAAAAAGACAAAGTAAAAGGATGAATTGGATTATAAATCAAAACGAAACATAATAGACTACCAACCAAGCTGGATAATTAAATGATAATTAAATTTATGTAAAAAAATTCTAAAAAAATCTCAACGCGTTTTGCAAATTTTAGTAATGACTTTTTTATAAAACTTTTATAAATACTTTTATATAAAATAACTTTCAATATTTATGTAATCTTAATAGTTTAATTGACATTTAAAAATAGTTTTACATTGAAAATGGTTTGATAGAAGTTTGTATTTTTGTTATATAAACTCTAGCACTACACTGTTAGAAATGTTCTTAAATTTTATTAACTTTTAAGTTACACAATTTAAACTTAATTTCATGACATTACATTAAATTTAATGTATTTATAACTAAAAAGTATATTTGTGTACACAAAATTTAATGTATTTTTCATAAAAATTTATGAAATTTAATGTACTTTCCATATAATTTTATTAAAAGTACATTAAATTTCATAAATTTAATGTATACGTTCATTACATTTAAATACTACTGTAACTTAATTTTCAATTAAATCATTCATTACTTTTAATTTCATTCGTAACCACGAGCTTCATTTACATGTAAAGGAAGTTCGTGGTTACATTTCAGTTACAGTGTAAAAAAACATCTAACTTGACTCGCAGTTATAGTCTCGTTTTAGAATTGGGAAATTTTTAGAGTATGTGAATCTCAGATATTTAACTGCCAGGAATGCATGTTGAATTTCTTTGTACACTTTTGTCTACACTTTATTCGTACCAATTAAGCCAATAATGTTAAATTGAACTTTTTGGTTGTCTGCTGACTGTGTGTTTATTAGCCATATATTTCGTGTTAGTTACATTCATGTCTCAAGGAGAATGCACGTACATAAAAATGGAGGACATCAGGAATAAAATTTCGCAGAACAAAACGCACGATTTGCATGTGCAAATAAACTAATGTTTTTACGTTATGAACATGAAGTACTTGACCTGATAAAACTGCGCCTCTAATAAATTTGAACATGCCATGGTGAAGAGTTTATAAAAAGAAAGGCTCTATTAGTGAGACAAACTTGTTGTTGGCCTTGTCATGTTGTAACCTTACATAAACGTGAATAAATTATCGTCGCATGGTCAAACTGCGTCAGTGCATCGAATGGAAGTAATCCGATTTTGTAGTTTGTACGCACCGTTTATCTCTTGACACTTCCTTGTCTATGATTAAAACTCATGAGATAAAGATAGTCATCCAACAATAAATTACTTGATACAAAGACCTGTTTAACATGTGGGAAGACATGCTCATCAGGTCGATATCCTTGTATTATCATAATAATCGTAAAACATACTTAAAGAGCTATTATCAATTCTAATCAAATATAGTCATAACAATTGATTTTTGCGACGTTGAGTACTGAGTTTTAATTGAACATGAGCAAAAATTGTCTTTGTGCATTTGTCGGACAATTAAAAAAATTAATTATCAAAAAGCCGAAACATATAATAATTTTAATTAGATTAGAATATAATGAATTTTAATTAAATATATATTAAGAAGGACTATAAACCAAGTGAAAACACAAAAATGTAAGTGCTAAACAAATATATTAATAATAGTAAGCGCTAAAACAAATTAAAACAAAAATAAATAGAAATGGATATAAAACAACCGGCGTTTCGACTCCAGTCGGGTCATTGTCATGTTAGATGTGTAAAAACTTTCAATAAATTAATAGTATAAACATATTTGAAACAGCAACGGTATAACTAAAAATTACAAACTACGAAAATAAAAACTTTTTTAATTGTACTAACTTCAGCTGGACGTACAAAAAGATAATAAAATAACATACTATGATTATCGCAACGGTATTAAAAATGTTGCTGTTGTATCCAATACAGATCATCTTTGTAATTGTGCGCGAGATGATACAGAGAAAACTCGCTATAGACATGTTGCAATATGTTAGTTAATATATTAAGTTCATGTTGGTGAAAAATAGCTAATAAAACAGTCTTCAAAATATTTTCAATTCTAAGTATTAATAAAATCAGTCAAAATTTGAAAAAATATAATATCGGTTGTATAAAAATTTGAGATTCAAAAAGCAATCGGTCTTAAAATTAGTTCCAATGTTAAGTAAAATCAGACAGAATATAAAAATATTGGTAAAACAAAAGGTACATTCTGGTGTAAAATTTTCAAAAAATCGAATTTTTTTATTGCATATTTCGATTATACAACATTTCAAGAATACACTGTCAAAATTTCAGAAAGAAATTCAAAGAATTAACGATTCCACAGTCAAAAGTCTATTTGTTTTTTGTTTTCAAAATTTCAGAAAGAAATTCGAAGAATTAATAATACTACAGCCAAAAGTTCTTTTTTTTACAATCAAAAAGTTTCAGAAAGTTGAAAGCTTACTTTATGAACCAGAAATCGCTGATTAACGATAAATAGTTTAATTATCATTTTATTAAAAAAAAACCTAAGAAAAACTTTAAATGCATTTTTCTCGAAACGTTTTTTTGAATGGTTGACACGATTTCGGAAAACTTACCGACCGATTTTAAAAATTCTTGCGGCGTTGTATTCGTAGATTGACTAGCTATCGCGTAAAGCGGAATAAATCGGTTTCATTAAAAATTAAATTTTTTATCCAACTTTTTTGAACGAAAAAAAAGCGTTTTTTCACATCATTTTCTAAAAACACGTGTTAACTCGTGAATTATCAATATTTTTCAATAATTCTGCTTTACGCGATAGCTACACAAATAAACTTTGAAAAAAAAATTTTGTTTTTTTATTTTAGGCTATTGATTCTCGAGATATCGTGTCTACCGTTTAGTCATTTCATTTTTTCAACGCTGCGCCTCAACTAATTTTTTGGAATTTTGGAATGAAAATATTACTGTAAACATTTTTTTCATGTATTGATATGTGTATTAATAAGTATGTCAAAAATTAGAACCGTGTGTCTTATAGTTTTCTCTTAAAAAAATTCCAAAAAAGGCCTTATTTTTAATGCGGTTACACCAGAATGTATCCTTAAAACTCGAAATACAAACAGTGTGTTGTTATATGTACAGCAATAAGATCAAATAAGCGAATTGCGATGGTGCTTCCTCAACATCCAAAACGGAAATCGTATTATATACATATTATACAGGGTGTCCCAAAAAGGTCGGGACACCTAAATATTTCGGGAAATATGAGTTTTACAGAAAAGTGTTTCAGACACACACACACACACACACAAAAAGTTACCTATACGATTTAAAAATATCTATTTACTGATCCTATCAGTTTGACCTTGGGTTGCGTAGCCAAAGTCAGATAGGTCAAGATTATATTGATTTTCTAAAATGGAACACTTTATTTTTTATACAAGAATCTAATAGCTGATGTCGAGAGCTTTCCAAAACGCTATAATGAAATATTTTTTTATGAAGTACTTTTCAAGTTATAATGCTTCAAAGTTA